CTAGGAGAAGCGGCTCCAGTCCCTGTCCTTCAGTGGCGTGAAGGAGCGGGAGTGGCAGATGGAGTCCCTCATCCGCTACATCAAGGTGATCGGCGGCCCGCCTGGCAGGGAAGGTCTCCTAGTGGGCCTGAAGAATGGGCAGGTGAGTGCTCCTCCACGTCTCCCCCAGGCCGATTACCTGCTGATGACCTTGAGAGTGTTCCTAGGGCAGAAGAAGGGAGTCTCCCCTCTGGGGTGCATTGCAGGGTAGCATGGAGTTTAGTTTTGGCCACAGGTCAAAGGCTTTCTGGCAGCGTTGGCGCCATGGCCTGGACTGCATGCAGAGTAGATTAGTGGCCGTGGCTCACCCAGGAGGCAGGAGATTTGCAAGAGCTGCAGCCTCAGTGGATTGCTGAAGGGGAGCCAGAGACCATTACTTAGGCCAGGTCCCTACAGGGCAGGTAGTGGCTTAAAGCCGCATGTCTAGACAATGCTGGGTCCCTGCTAGGTGCTGCAGGAAGAATAGGCTCTCTGGGCACAGAGATGTGAGAAATCTAGGTCACATGAAGTTAAGCAGGTTTGTGTGTGTGTGTGTGTCCGTGTTCTTTGCTCAAAATAAGGAAAGTTAAGTGGGCTGCATGGAAATGTGAAGTGAAAATATAACTGCGTTAGCCCGAGAGCCGAGCTGTCTAGCAGATGGCTTGTGGCTGAGCTCCTTGGGTCTGTTGCAGCCAGACGTCAGGGGACATGACATCACCTGGGGCCTCGAGCCGCAGCCCCGGAAGGAGGAAGGGTCTGCCCTTTTCTCCCAGCCAGCTCTCACTGGCTGAGAGCAGGGACTTAGGAAGCCGGTGCCCTGGGGTTATGCTCTTAGCTGCTCACCAGCTGGCTGGGCCACGCCCCCTCTCTGAGGCTCAGGGTGTACACAGGAGGACGGCACGTGCCCCACAGGGCGGCAAAGCAGGGCGGGCCACAAGGGCAGCAGCAGCAGCAGCAGCAGTGCAGCAGCAGCGGCAGCGTGATCACTGTATACCAGGTGTCCTGTCCGTGTCTGCCCGCGCCTCTTCCTGTATTCGTCTGTGACTCAGGTCTCTGCTAGATGGCGTCTCCCGATCCTGCACTTTGGGGAATGTCGTTCACAGATCCTCTTTCCCAGCAGACCCTAACGCGGGTTTGGTCTGTCTCGGGGCAGTCGTTACTTCGGTGACCTCTGCTGACCCACACTTCCGGTCTCCTAAGGGTAACCACCCCCCCACCCTCTGCCCTCTCCCCTTCTTTCTTTGACAAGTCCTGCTCTCTGCACAGGGAAGTTAGTGGGAGCTGTTCTCGTACAACACATGGGATTCCAACAGCCTGGCAATGTTCCAGGGCCTTGTTGCCATGGTGACGTTCACTGTTTTCTTTGAAATCTCACCAGATTCTGAAGATCTTTGTGGACAGCCTCTTTGCCATCGTGCTGCTGAAGCAGGCCACGGCCGTGCGCTGTTTGGACATGAGCGCCTCCCGGAACAAGCTGGCCGTGGTGGATGAGAACGACACGTGCCTGGTGTACGACATCCACACCAAGGAGCTGCTTTTCCAGGTGGACCCGATAGTGCCCGAGGACGGCTCCTCCGGTTAGACACCCTCCTCGAGGTGCCAGCCCTGCAGGAGGTGCCCCCGCGCTGGCCCTCCCGGCCCGCAGGAGGGCAGAGGTGTGGGGCAGCACTGGCGCAGTCTGACAGGCCCTGGGCCAGCCCCCCACACCCAGGGCTGCAGGGTCTGGGCCAGCCCCCCACACCCAGGGCTGCAGGGTCTGGGCCACCCCCCCCACACCCAGGGCTGCAGGGTCTGGGCCAGCCTCTTTTGTTTTTTTCTTGGAGAGATTTTCACTGTAGGGCGCGTGTGCTCGCCAGACAGACAGAGAGAGACATAGAGACAGAAAGCAAGAAATTACCCCCCAGGGGGGATGGTCATGCCGCAATCCCTTCTCCATTCTCCTCTCGAGATCTTGGGCACGCACGCACACGCGCCCGGCGTGAGTTCTAAGCCACCGGGTCTGGGACGCGAACCACGGTCGACTACATGGGAGTCCAGTGACATAGCCATTACACTAACTGCTGGTTCCCTAGGCCAGCCTCTTTGAACTTCGGTTTCCCGACTGGTAAGATGGGCAGGTCTTTCCTCTCTTACGCCATTACCCTGAGCAGTACGTGAGAAAAGCGGAGTGTGTCGTCACTTCTCTGAGGGGGCTCATGTGACAGTGATGAGTCTTTTCAAGTAGTCTGTCTCACCTACTGGAGGCCTGCCTATTCATGAGTGATCTAAGACACAGTGAGGAAACGGGCAGCTTTGTCGTCTCAAGGAGGAGAGGGATGGGAAGAAGCCCTTCTACTTACCTCTCAGGGTGTTGTGAGAGCCAGCAGAACGTGAAGTGTTTGTATCTTGGGCGACATAGGTGTGGTGTGCTCATCATTTGATCCTGGAGGAAGGGAGTCATTGGAGAAGAAAGCCCGAAGGCCCTGTGTCCTGCTGCTGGCTGGCCTGCTGCCGGACTCGGGGTGCTTTGCCTCTTTAGGGCTTTATAAATGGTCAGGGCCGATGTGCCTAAAGCAAGATCCCCCTACCTGGAACCTCTCCAAACACCATGGGGCTTCTCCGACCACTGTGGGGCTTCCCAGTGTCACGCGTAGACATAGAGCCCCTCCCAGGCTCCTCCTCCTCCTGGGCAGCAGCATTCGTGGACTGGAGGGCGCCTGGAGCGGGGAGCTGCCTCAGGCAGGCAGGCAGGGCTGCTGGCTACCTCTAGCCCAGAGGTGACTCCCAGGTGATCTCAGCTTGCTCACGTCACTGAGGAGCAGAGTGGGTGGGGAAAGAAAGAGCACAGCTGTGGGCTTCAGACTGACCTGGCGGGAGTCCTGCCTGCCTTACTTACTGGGGGGCCTTGGCAACCTCGCTGAGCCTCAGTTTCACCTATTCTAAAGTTAAACTGTAGTAATTGCCCTTCACGAGACGGCTGAGGGGTAAGCCAGGTGCCGTAGCACCTCGTTCTGTGCCTGGCGTGAAGAGGCCACACGTTGTCTCCCTTCTCCCAGCCTCAGCGCCCCTCCTGACCCCTGTACCTGTCGGTGGGCCAGCAGGCCTCCGCTGTGGACCCGTCTGAGCTAGAGAACAGGTATGAGTGGCAGGGTGCTCTCCCGCCCCCGTGGCTCTGCAGTAGGCCGGCCACTGGCTGTCGGAGCAGCTCCAGCTTGTTTGCATATTGGCCTTTTCTCTACCACCCCAACCCTTCCAAATGAAAACGGCTATGTTGTTGTTTTCTCATAAAAGTAATCTGTGCTCGGGACCAGCAGTTAGCATAATGGCTATGTCGCTGGACTCCCATGTAGTTGACTGCAGTTCAAGTTCCAGACCCGGTGGCTTAAACTCATGTTGGGCACGTGTGTGTGTGTGCCCAAGGTCCCGAGAGGAGAAGGGATTGTGGCGTGGCCATCCCCCCTGGGGGGTGATTGCTCGCTTTCTGTCTCTGTGTCTCTCTGTGTCTCTGGCAAGCACACACACCCTACAGCAAAAACCTCTCAAAAAAAAAATCATTAAGTAATCTGTGCTCATCATAAAAGATTCAGAGGCTATAAAGGATTCTAGTAGAAAGTACAGACATCTGCTCGTCTCTGAGTTCCAGGGCTGAAAGCTGGGCAGAGAGTGTTCCCTAAGGTGACTGTATTTTTATAATGTGGGAATTACAAATACAGAGACAATAGATTATTTTCTAATTTTAAACATAATTCACTGTTGCCTTTTGGCCGGAACTGCCATCTCCCAGTAATT